AAGTGCCTGCTTCACGCTTTTCGCGACATGCGGTCGAGTGTTATCATGCAACAAAATGACTTTGCGTCGATTGTTGGCTACGGATGATTTTTTTTGCATTAATTCGTCACTCAATCGACCTTTGAAGTAACATTTAACTGTTTCGACAACTCTAAAAGCATTTGAGCTGGATCATCAAGCAATTCTTGCAGCTCGACATCTTCAAATTTTTTCGGCTGTCCTGGACGTTCTTGTCTCTCACATCAAAATCACCGTTTCGGAAGCGTTCAAACCAAACTCTACATGTTCTTTCCGATGGAGTTTCATCACCATACACTTCGGATAATAAGCGATGCGCTTCAACTGCGGTTTTCTTGAGGTCGAAGTAGTGAAGAATGTCGGAAAAACAGCTTATCGCGATTCATTTTCAATCGATTGGAAAATCTCTTTGGCGTCGAGAAATCTAACCTGTGAGGATTGAATCACTTTCAGCAATGTTCTAAACTACAAAAGACATATGACTTCATCGTCGAAATTCGTCAGCGTTGGAACCAGCACCCTCTAGTAGCGAGCGGCAGGAATTAAGTTTAACATCTAATATTTTGACATCTTTAGAAAATATTTGTATAGCTGTATATTCATAACAAATTGCACATATATTGTTATAACTAAATATAATTAACAAAATGAGAAAAATGCACTGTTTCATATAAAAATGTAAAACTTTGAAACAAAAATGTTTAAAAGAAAAATATAGTTCAATATCTTAAAATTGATAGTCTAAATTATACAAAAAAATAGTTCAAGTGTCAGCTGTCTAAAAAGTTTAGTTATTGAGTAACTTGAAAATGATGTTTTTTTAATATGCATGAATATCTATAAATTGAAGATATATTACGTTTACACTTTGAACAATGCATTTTATTATTGCTATTGTGTCTAAAAAATTTATAATTTATTAGGAAAATGTTCTTTATAACATTACACACAATATATTGTAATGCATGATATTACTGACAACATTTTGCACAGGATTACCAAAAATCGTGTTTATTAAGGGCTAATATGTTGTTCTAGGGTTAAATTCTTTTTTTAATAATTCGTGAAATATTCCCGCAATACAACCGAAAATTAATTTAAAAAAAATAAATTTTTTTTAGTTACAAAAAATGTACACTTTGTACGCACGTTGGATCATTTATGACCCAGAGGTGAACTTCGGAGTTACATACCAGTTAAAGGATACGAATTGAGGCCGGCAACGCACAAAACTTGTTTTTTAGATGCTAAACTTTTTTTAGTAATAAAAAAGAAACCGATATTTTACCAGGTGCTCTTAGTATTTCAAAGAAAAGAAATGCGCAGGACACGAATAACTCAGAGGTGTGTATTAAGAATTAAATATAAAAACTGAAACGAATAATTCAACAATTCGAAGTCCCCTGTAGTAAAGCGAATTATTCTAATCAGCATAATGAATTATTTTGATTATAAAATGAATTATTTTGTCGTCAGTTGCAGGATATCCCTGAGACGTATTACAATTCTGGACACAAATTCTTGAAGAATCGGTTGTCGCGCTTTGCCAACGTCCATCACTTCCTCATGATTTGCTTCGTAGTGATCTTCATAATCGGTAACACATTGATTAGTGATTAAACTGAACGTGAACACGGTGAGATCACAATGCCGGGCGGTGATCACCTCATGAACTGTGGACATGCCTAAATAGTAATCACGTGTTATTATACATGAAACTGTCTATATATAAAGAGAAAATATATAATGTAAAGAAATATAATTTAAACACAAATAAATATAGATGCAGTTCGTAATGTGCATGGAAGAATAAAATGTAAGCAAAGTGAAGAAAACCTTACTGAAAAAAATCATGTAATATTGTGACATAATTTTTTTTTAATAGGGAAGAATCAAAATAGTGTTTCTAAATAAGATAGAATGCAACCATTTACCATCAATGACAAAACTAATAAGAGTCACTATCTAATTGTTATACATGTAATGAAATTATTATATAAAATAAAATATTATTACCTTTTTAATTATCAATAATTATACACATATACTTAAAAATATCTATATATTACTTTCAACTGCGATCCAGAATAAATCTATAAAATTTTTCATAATTTTTGTTATTTTAAAATCTGTATAATATATATCTTTAAAAACCCGTTTTAAAAATAATTTAATACTTTTATAAAAGGATTAATTTCGTCATAAATGTTATTTTCCGTTATGTCACATTCAGTTTATTCTATTTTAATTACGCCATCACTACGTCATACAGATAACTGGATGCATAATTGCAAAGTAAGTTAAATCTATCACAAGCTGTTTACAAAAACAAAAATTTAATTGCTTATCTATGAATCAGCACACATGTAATATATGAAGTCAAACGTCATTGCGACTATAATAACACAGGCCTGCAAAATTGGAGGTGTTGAAAGTTGATTGGGATTTAACTATGTTTTCTTACGTAATTTTTCGCGCTGAATCCGAATCCGGCTGCAGAATTGCTCTATCACGTCAGGTTTTTGAGAAAAGTGAGGTTAAAGGTGTCAAAATTGACGTTTTTTGACATATTTGTGATTTTTTTGCTAGCGAAGTAAATTTTTTTTTCTACTTTCGTTTACGCCATCTGAAAGTGTCAACATTTATCTTCAAAATATATTTTTTTTAACGCCGTACGTTTTTTTTTTCACCGATAATCTCTGTAGTCACACAAAGAAAAACATTTTTGACACAAAATGTTTGTGTGATTACGCAGAGATTAACTATGTTTTCTTACGTAATTTTTCGCGCTGAAT